TATGTTCTTGGATTCGGTTGGCCAATATTTTATTGAGTATTTTAGCATCAATGTTTATGAGGGATATCGGTCTGTAGTTCTCTTTCTTAGTCTTATCTTTGTGTGGCTTGGGTATCAAAGTGATTGCAGCCTGGTAGAAAGAATTTGGCAATATCCCATCTGTTTCTATTGTTCGGAACAGTTTGAAGAGTACTGGAATTAGCTCTTGTTTGAATTTCTGGTAGAATTCTGCAGTGAAACCATCTGGCCCTGGGCTTTTTTTTGGTTGGGAGGCTTTTGATTACTGCTTCTATCTCATTAGGGGTTATAAGTGGATTTAAACTGTCTATCTTATCTTGCTTTAATTTTGGTAAGTGATATTTATCCAGAAAGCTGTCAATTTCCTTTAGATTTTCCAATTTTGTGGAATACAGGTTTTCAAAGTATGACCTAAAGATTCTCTGGATTTCCTCAGTGTCCGTTGTTATATCCCCCTTTTCATTTATGATTTTGTTAATTAGCATGCTCTGTTTCTGCCTTTTGGTTAGTTTTGCTAGAGGTTTGTCTATCTTATTGATCTTCTCAAAGAACCAACTCTTTGTTTCATTGATTCTTTGTACTGTTTTCCTAGTTTCTACTTTGTTGATTTCGGCTCTCAGGTTGTTTATTTCCTGGTGTCTACTCCTCCTTGGTGTGTTTGCTTCTTTTTGCTCTAAAGCTTTCAGTTGTTCTGTCAATTCTCTAATGTGACTTTCCTCCAGTTTCTTCATGTGAGCACTTAGTGCTATGAACTTCCCTCTTAGCACTGCTTTCAGAGTGTCCCATAAGTTCGGGTATGTTGTGTCTACATTCTCATTAAATTCTAGGAAGTCTTTAATTTCTTTTTTTATTTCTTCCTCAACCCAGGAATGGTGCAATTGGGTGTTATTCATTTCTACGCAAATGTAGGTTTTCTGCAATTCGTATTGCTGCTGAATTCTAGCTTTAATGCATGGTAGTCTGATAAGATACAGGGGGTTATTTCAATACTTTTGTAACTGTGGAGGTTTGCTTTGCTGCCAACTATGTGGTTCCAATTTACTCTTAATTCAAATCCTGAACCTTTCAGCCTCTACAGAGTCTAAAGCTGTCCTAGAACAATGTGCTCAAGGGTGACCTCAAACTCATAATCCAGCCTCAGCCACCCAGATGATAGGAGCACAGGTGTGCCTATTCCTCCCCCCTTTCAGACTCTTATTTATGCTTATGAATTTCAAGGGAGCTGTTCCACTATGACCATGAATAACAAGTACTGGTATTTAATTCCAAAGCTGGGACCTAAAATGATCATAGTGGTACATTCCAGAACTCCAGGAGGCTAAATCAAGAGATGAGACTGAAAGGTGTAGCGAGGAAGAGGGTTACTCTGCCAGTGGAGCCCTAATTAACACAGGAAACAAATATGTGATATGGACAGCACCTCCAGCAAAGGCTGTGCCAATTCTAATCTCTTTAAGGCTTTGTCGCTCAGGTGTTTACTGTCATGAAGTCAATGAATGCACAGGCTCAGCCCTGGTACTTCAAAGTTGCCCCCTAAACCCAGAGGACTGCTTCTGGTCAACTCAAAGCCCAGCAAGTTCCTGCCTCCACAATGTTCACATCACACCTTCACGTGGAGGTCATGGCCATCTACTCTGCAATGAAGGCCTGGTCAACTGTTCCCTAGTGTCAACTCCTCACCTTCCAGCTCACTTGGCTTCTTGGCAAAATTATTTTGCATGAAGCCTCATCATACTGCCAGGCTCCTAATGTACTAATGTACTTAAAAGTTTAGTTTCACAATGCCTTCAACTGTAGCTTTTTAATTACACACACCACACACACACATACACACACACACACACAGAGAGAGAGAGAGAGAGAGAGAGAGAGAGAGAGAGAGAGAGAGTACCTGGCTTGTATTGGATAAGGGTAAGATAACATATTTTGCCTCCCAAAACACAGAAAGGCAAACATCTTAGTGTAACTTTGTGAATAAATTGATCTAGTTGGACTACAGAGAAATTTTAACATTAGATTCAACATTTCAGAAGTGCTGAGTTGTCCAGACTTTGAACAGTGACTAGGTATTGTCATCAAGTATCATACTCGGTAGTCAGGCTTTCCTATTGGTGATTCCCACATCACTTTTACAGTGATCCCATTCTGTGTTTACTATCACACTGTCCACCAGACACCACCCCTATCCCAGACACTACTACACAGAATCCCTCACCCACTGGCATTAAGTCAGGGTTTCTTAACTTGCAATCTGACATACTTTCCATGCTGAAATTCAGGTAATAGGCTTTTGTGGGGTGAAGGGTCGATAAGGGTCACATAGCTCTTTCACAGAGGGTTGTTAACTGAAGCTTGGCATGCTTTTAAGGTAGTCACCAAGATCAACAGCATTCAGTTCCTTAAATATACACCAAGCCAAATGTTCTCCAAACCCTTTAATACAGCTGAGGCACAAGAAATAAACAATTCATTTTTTTTCAGATTTGTTGTCAACATCATACACCAAGTTACCCACCATGTCCTTAGCATTAATAGGCTTTAATCATCAACAGTTCATCAACAATCTGGCTCACAGGTTGGTTCAAGGTCATAAAGGCAAGTGGGCAATGGTTGGTATAAATACCAAACTTGCTAGAGATAAAAGGAACACAACACCCAGACTTTACCTCTGTATGCTCACTACGCTATTAAGGGCATTTACACAACCTTTCCAGCAGTTCTTTTTAAAATGTTTTCAGTTAGGAAAAACAGTGGCACCCAACAATACATCTAAGGCCAAGGCAGCATGACAACACGGTGTAACATGAACATTGCCGACCGTCCCTGGCAACACTTAAGCTCTTTATATTACTTGAGTGTTAGTCTTGCCTTCTGGCATCACTGACCAGCACAAAGCCTTCCTGGTTCAATCTGTTTAACTTGAGGTGAGAAGAAATAGTGTTCAGCATTTGTTTTTGTGGAGGAAAGTAGACCTCCACAAACATAGCTAGTGTTCAGACAATTCTGAAGCCTCACATTTGTCACACAAGTCTTGGCTTAATTGGCCTCAAAGTAAAGACAGTATCTCCCTCTCCACTACCAGGAGCCAGACCACTCAGTGCACACTGCAAAACACCTCTCCAAGCAGTGCCCCACCACTCACTTTCCTATGTCCACTCTCCCTTTGGTCCTCATCCATATCAGGGCTGATGTAGGACTCTCAGCAGTGCAATTAGTCTCTGACTAATCACCATTATGATGCTTGGGATTGGAGGGCCTACCAGCAAAAACTCAGCCAGCATTTTTATTTTATTTGTAGCACCCCCAAACACGCATACCTACCAAGAGAGCACTATTGAAAGATTCAGGATCAAAGGCCTGGAAAGGGCCTATAGAAGGTCTTAAAGTGTGCCTCCAGGCCTGGTTTTCCACCAGAAAACACTAGAGTGGTTCCTAAGTGAGGGAAGCTGTTCAAAGCTGCTATGCACACACCAAGTAGAGGCAGGTAAATCCTGATTCATCCTACTATATTACCAGAAAAAGACAAGCAAAGCCAAAACAAGTCTAGGGCATGGAGACAGACAAACTGCCCCATGAGAATGCTGCTCGATGAACAGATACAAGCACAGACAACAAGGTCTTCACAGTTCAGAAACAGTCCATGTCACCAGGTGATTTGTCGATATCTGAGAAGAGGTCCCACCTGCTTCAGCCAGTCTCCAGTCAAGATGACACTCCACTATTACTGTTCAAGATAAATTAATCAATCCCCAGGAGAACTTAAGAGATACAGTGTTAAAAGCAAAAAGGAATCAGTACTTTCACAAGTAGACCATTACAACAGCCTTAATGACAAGTGTCTGGTTAATTTACACTAAAGTAACAGAATCACTCCACATCAGTAACAACTGACAAAGAAGTTATTCCACTTTGAGGTTTAATTGAGAAATACCAAGTCAGGAAAACATGCAAACTCAGAATATAAAGAGGTGCAAGGCCTGGTTGTTTTGAAATCATTGGCCATCAGCTGGAATAGACCTAAAGACAGTCAACGGAACAAATTAAATTCCACACTGAAAGAGTTATCCCAGAGATGAGCACACTGGTCCTCTCAGTCTGTAAAGAGCAGAGTGTGCAGTCAACAGGCAAGGTTCACCCAGGTGGAATTTCCAGTGCTATCTGCCGCCAGGTGCTTGAAATACTAGGAGTTAGTTAGTGTCCAGGACATTAAGCCACTGATGTAGACTGAAACTTTTAAGGAAACACAGGAGAGAACGGGATCGCTAAGAGCAGAACAGTACACTTCACATGTTCAAGAGTAAATAGAAAAAAAAAGGTCTCTGCAAGATCTTAATGCTAAACAAGTTTCTATCCAATTTTATGATTTACAGGAAAATGTATTAGTGTTTAAAAATGGTCATTATTCAACTACCCTTCATACTCTCTTTCAATCTTTTAAAATCATCACCGGGAGTTTTTATCTAGGTAATAATAACTCTGCTGTATTTACATCTGAATTGCATGTCTTAAGAATAAACAAAATGCATGATATTTTGGTTAACTCCGTGTATTTATAAAATAAAAAGTTTTATAAAACTACTTTTCACTGGAAACAAATAATTAGAACAGACAATGGATGTCCTCAAAGTACATATTCACTTTGGTAGACTTCAGTGTAGGACAGTTCATGGTAAGCATATTTGCTCTTATTCCCCCGGAGACTATTAGCTTCCAAGCTAATGGTTAAATAGTTTTTAACTGAGATTTTATCGTGTTGAAATCTGGCTCATTCCACATCATCTTCAGCCAAAGTCTGAGCACTTACAGTTCTCTGACTAATGGTTGGAAGCTTGGTCAGAAGCATCTGGAACTGGTGGAGGAAGAGTCTTGCAGCAGCTGCTGAGGCTGTGCACACACAACAATTGCATTTTTCAGGTTGTCTACACCCTTCTCATATTCACTTTGTGCTAATAACTCTTCCCCAAGCTGTATCTCTTCAAGGAAGAATTTTTGAACAGCTTCAGCATCTTTTAAATAATGTAACTTGGAAAGCCCAGTTCTTTCCTTAGCAAGCTTCTGTTTCTTTCTTCGTTCTTGAAGCCTGTTCTTGAAGTTGGGGTCACTCCTCCTTTTGCAGTCAAAGTATATGTGGTACCTGATGAAGAGGGAACTGCATATGCCCACAGCGATGTCACTGTTCTGGCCTACCATCTTCGGCTGGGG